TATATAACATTAGGAAGCATTAAACAACTCTCTATTAAATTTAGAGGTTTTTTTTTTTATCTGAAAGGAAACTGAGTGGTTAATTGGCCCACAATTAAATAGAAATGCCATTAAAAAAAAACTGAAACAGCTTGCCAGGCTCACTTTCTTCTTGCCTCTTATACTTTCATGATAATCTAACAATGATATCAAGATATTAATTGAGAATATTATGAACATTTAAAAAATATCTTTACAGATCAAGCTATCCTGAAGGACAAAGTGCATATGGCAGATATATGCACAGAAGTAAGAGCAAAAAGGTGATACTGCTGTTCCACCAATGAACTTGAAAGGCCTGGGAGAACAACACAGATGTATAGATGTGAGATCAGAGGGGATAATGAGGAGTGTTTATTCTGACATTCTGCATAGTATGGCTAATAGCAGTCCCTTGGTTTAATGTCAACATTGGCTGGAAAATAAGTTTTTAGAATACCAAATTCATGAGATTCTTTTTGTAAGTTACCTAACAGCAAAATATTGCAGTAAAACACACACATTATTTCAAATCTTGCTTTTTCTGTGCATATCTGAAACAATTTGAGGACACATTTTAATATTGCTTTGGATTGCATGCTAACTTACTTTTACATTTTTTGCAGGCTTTAATGCATTATGTAAAACAAAACAAAACAAAACAAAAAAAAACCCCCACAAACTACATATTTAGATATCAATACCCAGGAAAGTGAATTTAAAAGTTCTCCTTAAGAATGTGCCAGAAATGGAAAACAGTTTTATTATATATCTGCCCCAAATTAATCTATTCTGGCTCCAGACTTTTTTTTTCCATGAGAGGGAAAAACCTCGTGGTAAAAGGAGGAAAAAAAAAAAAATGCGATCCAACATCTGTAACATCCAACATTTAGTTACTCTCTGGTAAAAACTGATTTCATTTCAAGGCAGCTAAAAAAGAAGAGAGGAGGGCTCGCTCATTATGATCTGACTTTATGAGGAAAAGAAGGACTGCCTAGGACAATCTACAAAACTCGTAGACTAAAATACAGCTGTCCATTTACTCCAGAATCATTTCTTAACCGTAAATTTTTTTTGATCTTGTTGTTGTTATCTTTGAATAAAGCAAGGGAGCAGATGTTGAAAATCTCCTCATGAGAGTTTTTCATTTGTCACTATGCTTAAGCCAGGAAAGCAGGTTCCAATTAGAGGCAACACAAGAGATCCCCAAAGAGTTCTCACACATGCTCCTTCCTCACAGCATCACCTGCTACCTGGAGGTATACCTCTGCCAAGAGATCTTCCCACTGGAGCCATGCACATTGCACTGCTTATCACCATATAGGGAAAATGAATACACATCTCAGTATTTGCTTCACAATGTTTTTTTCCTCCTCATATTTTCTAAATTTGTGTTCCTTCCATATTTATTTTTCTTTATACCACATCTCTGATCTCTACAATCAATTGCTTTCACAACTAACAATCTCTTTTCTCATCTTTTCCTTGGATTCCCACAGGATATTTCCTTTTCTTATCATGGTATCAGCAGTGATCATCCATTTTACAATATTTACTCAAGCTCACTCAATTGGATCATTTCTACCATCTTTTTCACTAAGTGCACATGATTTTGAGAATGTGTGAATCCTTTAACTAATTTGGAAGTGAGATCAATAGCGAGAAAACCAATGTAGCTCCTTTTCCAGTGGTGGAGAATGCTTCTAGGTTACCAGCCTCTGCCACTCCACAGGGCAAGATATCAGCATGAGTAATAGCATCCAAGCGTTCTATATAGTATTAGAGGTCACTATCTTCAAACCCGTAGACTTACACTCATTTTTAATTTATTTTTTTTTTTTCCTGGTGGAGTAGAGTAACATTCAGTCTCTATGAAGGCTAACATGCCTTCAGTTTGGCTTAGAGGGCAAAAGCTTTGCTTCACATCAAAGATCATTTAATTCCTAAGAACTACAGCTGGCAAAAGCACAAATATCTTTTTACAGTCACAAATGTTGTAAAAGCCTGTGGAGTGCTTTAAATGTTAACTCTACCCAAAAATAAAGTATTGTAAAAGCAAAATCATCTGAAACAATAACTTTTGAAAATGTTCTGTGACGGTTCCATATGTTCATTCTACAAAAATACAAAAGCAAACTGGTTGCGAGATGTAAAATATTATTCTGCTGAAAAGTGACTCTCATAAACGTGGTCCAGAAACATACAGTCTATTGCTTCATAATAAAATTGATTTCCCTAATAACTCTAAGATTTCCATCTTACCATTGCTGCTGATAGTGAAATTGGGAACTTTCCATTTTGTCCATTACTATTAGAAATTCCACAAGCCAAATCAAAATAAAATGGCAGCTCTTTCTGTGTCCCAGTATTTTCTGAGTATATTCTCCTTACTTCATGTGGGTAGTCTTTTTTGTAGCAGTACTGCAGTACCTAGGAGGCACTTCTAGGTAATGACCATTCTACAAAATGGACACCTACTCCTGCACTGCAAAGTCGAACTTGTGCACATACATTTGCTGTTAAGATGTCTGTGCAGGCATCACCTCAATCTGGAAACAACCATGTAGTATTTGTCCCATGGCTACTTTCAGGTTAACACATCTACAGATGGAAGATTTTTTCATCCTGCCTGGTACCAGTACTTATCTTTTAGTTTCCATGGTTTCATTATTGACTCTCAGTGAATAGAAAACATATGGAGCTGGCATACTCTACAGATACACCTGTTAAGCTCTTGTAATACTGTAGCATAGTCCCTGTTACAACACCCTCTCCAGAAAGCTCTGGTAGAGAAAACTGATCTCACAGAGCTTTCTTTGTGTCCTGACAGTAGGATTTTCCACTGTTTAGCATTAGGTACAAATATCTATACCTGAAGAACATACCATAAGTATACTAAACAATTTTCTTTCTGTTGGAGACAGGCCATTAAATTTCAAATATCCTGGGCAGAGTTCTCTTTTCTTAATATTTGTGGTTGTAGAGAAATTTGTCATAAACTTCCCTGTAAGCACATAGTCTGTTCAGATATTTAGGCACTACTTCAGCCTTCTTTTTGTTGGTGCCTGTTTATGGAAAATTCAGACCACAGTGTCTATTGAAAGGATTGTTCACACTTCTTCCTGACCTTGTTCTATCTGTATGCATTTCATGACATATTAAACTCCAACCACTTTTTTTCTCAAGATCAAAGACTGTCAATTTTGTCTCTGCATAAATCTGACACCATTTTGTATACATATGTGAAATCAGTGATTGAACCAAAACGAATGAGTCTAGAACACAGTGTATTGCTTTAGAGAACTTGAGTCAGACTCATTTCAGAGTGAGTCACTTGCATTTATCATCAAACAAAACCACATTGGGGTCAAAGTCTGCTGAGGATTTTGCAGTTACACTGAGGAAAGTGAGAAGTGGTTGGAACATTATAGAGAAGTATACATTAATAACATCCATTCAAATATGAAAACTGAGTTTCTGTTCCACTCTAAAAGCCTGCTGATAATGATTTAAATAAAGCCAAATTTGCACTGCTGTCTGAAGAATGACAACAGTAGATATGGAAATATTGTAGCTTTAATTAACTCAGCACCACTAAAATGAAAGGTATGGAGTGAAAGGCTAGGAGGCCAACTAAGTAAGCAAAACAATAAGCAGGTTTGCATAGTTCCATAAAAGACACGCACTGCCTTTGAAACCACAGCACTGCCTCATGTAAATCTACACCTACTTCAGTCATGCTTTTTACTTCATGGTTGAGGTGTATCCAGTGTTTTTTTGGCTGGAATAGTCCATTTGACATCTAAAAATACTCAAAGACTGTACCATGCAACTCCATTTAAAACCAAACGAAGAGCACTGTATGACAGAAAAGCAAGGCATTTTATATCACATGGCAGGACTGTGTTAAACCTTGCTATATGTTCAAAACTTGAACATCCATCACCCTGAAATGTTACAGGTTTGTCCAAATAGGGTAGCTTCATGATGCATGGAAGAACCATCATGTTTTTGAACACTACCTGGTTTCTTGATAGGGAAAGTCTGTGTTTTCACCAAACAATGGGAAGGACCTGTGAGGATCTCCAGCAACCAGTAAGAAGTAGCTAGCATTAGCAAGTCAAAAGAACAATTTACCTGGCCAAAGTCTGTTTCCACCCATGCTGAAGGGAAGCTAAGCAAAGAATTAAGAAGCAAGTGTGATGCACACAAAACCTCAAAAAAAATCATATACAAAAAATTGCTAGAATTAAGACAGAGAAGTTTATAGAAATGTTATTGCTGATTTTTTTTTTCATATATACTATGAGCAGAATTGATTAGAGATCTATTTGTTTAGTATTTTCCATTATGAGAATATCTTTCTAGTGCCTTCAGCTTTGCCAGAATTTAGTTGTTCAGGCTGGATTTGATTATGCGGTTGGCCTCATCCTAATTTCTTTCTTTAATGATACTATAAATGGTGAAATACTTTCAATGAAGTTGGAAAGAAAAACTAAGCTTGATAGTGCAAATCCATGTAACATCATGATCTTTCTTAAGTCAGCTCACAGGTTTATGACAACAAAAGCTCCAACATCCAATAGAAAAAATATATTCGAGGATAGATAGCTTATATCTTTAAAAGTTTGAAAGCATTATTTCACTAATCTACGAGTTCAAAAAAAATCAAAAGGCAAGAGAAGTAAATCTATGGTATTTTTCTGTTTGTTTTAAATAGAAAAATTAAAACATTTTAATGATCATTTGCTCGGTATTGCTGGTAATACTGCAGTATTAGAATATTTTTCAAGAGAATTACTGAGCATTTTTGCTACAATCTCTTTACTCCAAATTTTTTCAAGCAGGCTGTTTCAGGGAGTATAAAAGTTTTCTTTTGTTGCTCCTGTTTAAATTTATTGAAATCTGGCCATTCAGCACTTCTCTAAAATAATTTATAGACGCTCAGAAAAAGCTTCTTAGCGGCTTGAAATAATACTTACAGAGCTTCCATGTGTTGGCTGTGTTTCTGCCTAGCATTAGCAGCCCCTTCAGAGCAACTGATAATCATAGCTGCTGAGGCATCAAATGCTGAAACTTAAGAGCAGAAGCAAAGCCCTTCTGCTGGGACCATGCCAGTAAAGAGCAGAAAGAGGAAGAAGCCTAACTGAAATAGGAGAGGATGAAAAGGAACAAGAAACTCAGAAGCAGAAATAAAAGAGGTAAAGTTGTGAGCTGGGAAACAATATGAATTTGAACTGAACAATAGGAATATAGTTATAGAACATTTCTTTAAGTTGTCCACTTTGAGTATTTTGGTCCTAAACATTTACTGCATATCTCCCCCAAAATGCAGTGATTACAGAATTACTAATTTCCTCTTTTTTTTTTTTTTTTTTTCCCCTCTTTCTTCTTTTCAGCCATTTTTATCTTTATGATAATCAGTGGTTCTCAACCTTATTTAACTGCAACATTAACAGCTCTTTGAAATCAGGTACATTATCTTCTTTGCAAGACAAATGACAGAACAGGAGATTCAGGTCACCACTGACAGAGTTGCCTTTTAGCCAGTATTTCTCATGCTGGTAGTTGGCAGTGAGAGGAGGGAGTTTATCAAGAAATGGATTCTTGCAAGTGGCTTCAGGAAGGCTCTACAATGAAGGCCTCCAGGATCGCTGATGCCTGCGCAGCAAACTGGCCCAATGGCTGGGTGGGCTTCAGTGGACGAAAGGCTGATCCCACTCCAGGGCAGCACAGGGCCAGGGCCTGCTACTGCAAACTCAGAGAAGGATCCACACTATGCTGTGGAGAGGTCGATATGAGAGTGTGGGAGGTCTTAGAACAATGCAAGTAGCACAATAAAAATCTTGTTTGTGATTTTCAGGCTTCAGCTGAGAGCTGCATGCGCAAGAAAGGATTGCAGCTGCAGTCCTTGCTGTCCAGCTTAATTCACTGCTTAATTTCGTATCTTCTCTGTTCCCTTAAGATGGGTCTCAGAGCCCTCTCAGAGCTGGAGCAGGCATGGACAGATTTGTGAACCAGTGCCTGCTACAGTGTGACTGAGCAAGCCAGGGCGTCACTTCTGCTAGGGCTGCAGCATGGGACTGGACTGTTGGGGAGGTTTGATGTTTGTGTGGTACAGAGAACACCATGGTTAGAATGAGATGAAAAAAATCTAGCAGATATTTAAGCCTTTCTGTTGCATAAATTTCATAGGAGGTAAGTAGGGCCAACTTTCTCTTGAGTCCACATTTGAAACATCTGACTTCAGCCTTTGCTTCTGGAGGGTATCAGGATCATACTTGGATATGATATGCCCATGTGTTCGCACTTTCCAAAGACTAATGTTCACAGTTATTATGCTCAAAGTCTGTAAGAATTCACCGTCAGTATTTTCCTCTAAGGCTTTTATCAACTCACTGGGTTTTAAAATATGTTTTAAATCTTTATCTGTAGCTTATCTTTAAGAATACATGCTAGTTTGGCCTAGTAACTGAATCTTATGAACACTGTAAAATTTCTGTGATAAAGGAAGTTATTATCTCCTTGGTGACTGTTATAATTAACAAAAACAAAAAAAACAACAGAACAGACCCAGGTACTTATCCACTTCCTAATACTAAGGCCATAAGCCTTCCCATTGACATGCATGTTTGTTGTTGAATTGGGGCCTATATATATATATATATATATAAGAGAATATCACTTATTTAGTGCATTTGTCACTGGCAGAAATTGCAGATGTGACTGTCTTTACTCAAGATCTATTCAAGATTGTATGATCATTTACCACCTAATGAAGGTATCTTCAGACAGTATGGCTGAGCCATACTCATATATACATAATGTAAACACTGATCAGAAAAATGCAACTAAGCAGGCAATATGCATTGATTGCAAGAACACGTGAACCCTCTTAACATTTCACATAAACCTAAAGAATCATCTAAAGCTGAGGCAGCACCTAACATTCAAACCCCAAGAGGCACATTTTTGTTGCTTCACTTGTCACTTAAGAAATGCTTATCTTTATACAGGTGAATAAGTGGTTTTGCATAAGTACTCTCCTATTTACCTTTAGACAGGTGAATAAGTGGTTTTATATAAGTGCTTTCCTATTCACCTCCAAACAATAGAAAGAGTAATGCATTTATTTTGATCACACAATTTTTTTCACTCACATGCTAGCTACCAAGCCCTTTTTTAAATCTCTGACAGTGTAGTGCAGTTCTATGTTGTCTATTTTTCCTGAATAAATGAATTATTGCTGCAATTAAGCGATTTTAAGAAAAAAATGCCGGTTTCAAAGAAAAATCAGGGGGTGCTGCATAAGCTTCCCACCTCCTGAGTCATTCTGCTGTCTCTCCTGGTGTGTATCATGCATCTTAAAAATAATGGATGAAAAATATTTCCTTTCCCATGCAATATGAAATGAAGCTATTTCATTAACAATTCATTCTTATGCACAAAACATTTTACAAAACAGAAACGTGTCTCATATGTTATTTACAGCAGTGCTAAACCATATTTAGTCACAGACAAGTCCTCCATTCTGTCTTCCATCAGAGAGAGGCTGTTTTGGGAGACGAGGGAGGGGAGAATCCCGCAAATCTCCTATACCCCACAGAAACAAAATGATGAATTTAGGAAGTCTAGAAAGCCTCTGCCTGAAGATGGTATAAAGAAGCAACAGCACATTTCTGCATTAAATCAGGATAGTTTTAAAACTGAGCAATCCTAGGGATGGATTAATGTGCTTTAGAATACCACTCCAATTTGTATCTCGGATACAGCATGAATATAACATCCAGTAGAAAAAGAAAACACTTGTAGATAATCACATCAAAACAACAAATTACCACAGTAGGGATGAAAAATAATGATTCAGAAGTAATTCTAATTTTAAGTATAAAATCTCAATAAAATATAGGACTGACCAGAGAACTCCAGAGAACAACACAATGTTTCATTTCTGTGGTGAGACCTAAATAAATTCTATGAAATATCCATGCAATTTCAAAGATGGCTATTGTTGCCTCTCCTCTTGCTGTATTAATATTAATTGAAAACTAGGTGTGGCACCACGAGAGAAAAATCTTGGTGCAAAACAACTGGAATGTATTGTCTACTAAATAAATTTTAAATTAAAATATCAAATTTTCTTACCTGATTAAGAGTGAATTACAAATCATGGCATAAGGAATATCTGTACACTTGTAGATGATAAGGCTCTTTATACTGCAGGTTCAGTTTCCTTGGCACAGAAGCTTGTAAACTCTTAATTTCACTGAAATGAAAAGGGAAAGAAATGAAGAAAGAACCTCCCCATCAAAACAACAAAGCAGCTTCTGCAGTATTATGTAGTCTCTCCTCCTGCTTCCTGTTCTGAGATTCACTCTGTGAATCCCAACATCGATCAGAAAATTGGTGTGGAGAAAAAAAGGGAGGGGAGGGTTAAGGGGGAGGAAAAAAGGAGGCAGCATATTACGTGCTAGCTCCACCTACTGGCAAGGAAGTGAGCTCAGCTGAATTTTTTACACCCTATCAAAACGACAGCGTTTCAGTTTTAAATGGCATATTAGCCCTTGATTGCACAAGTTTAAAATGAAGTAACTAGGTCAGGACTAATAAATGCTTACACATTTTTTAAGAAATCATTTACGGTTTAGGCTGCAAAAGTTTTTATATTAGTGGAGTATGTATCTTTGCATCCATATGTAAAGAATTGCAGAGAACTCGAGATTCTGCAAGGTATCAGTGCTTTATGATTTATTTATATATGGGACGTTTGGAAATAAAAAAAAAAATCATTCTTCATTTGGAACCCCTGCAAAATAACAGAAGATGATTTCCTGCTTTTTTTTTTTTTTTTTTCCTGTTGATTGTTAATTGTGCAAAATAAAAATTACATTTATGTCTTTATTGAAAGCCGGAGAAGAAAAATTGTTATGTAAGACAAAATGAAGGGCTGCTCAGATTTAGCCTGGGATAATATATTATTGCTCACTAAAGAGTTAATATAGCGATCAGTTTTACTAATTTTGGTCTAAGGCTCTCTTCTATATTTTATAGCAGTCTGAATATGCTCTGTAATATTCTTGATATTATCAGTCTAATATGCAAATTGAATTCCCCGCTCCAGTTGTCTCTAGCCATGTTCTCCATGACACCAAAGTTGGATTTACTATTACTGAAGTGCTGGGATGCTCTGTAGCTGTGTGTGTCTACTCTTCTAGTAATACAAATAAACAAACTGTCAGTTTGTCTACAATAACAAATTATTGTGTCATCCTATTTTATCACTATTGCCTTCAAAGTTTTCTATCATTTTGAGTTGCTCTAATACATCAAACGACTACCAGACATCTGCATGCAGAGCTGGCACGACGATTCTCAGTTTTGGAGGAAAATGGAAAGTCTCATCCAAATGTGAGATACAGGAGAAGAAAAGAGTGCAGGAAGAGTTAATTAGGAATAGAGTATCTAGATGGAAAACAAACAAACAAAAAATAATTAGAATCCATGATTTAATTAATCACAAAAATCACTAACATGAACACAGGGAAGTTGCTGGAGAGACTGTCCCTTTCAGTAGCAACAGGTTAAACCATTTATCACAGTTCCCAAAAATCCTTGGAATACCAGTTCTTCAGGGAAGAGATCAGTTCCTATGCTTGTTCAATCCCTACAATAGAATCCGGGACTATCACAGAATCTGAAGTACCAAAATAGTTGGAGTAATGATTGTATGTCGTAGCGCCAATGTGTGAGAATGGACTGAGAATTTGACCGAGATTGTTAACTAAGCTCTATTCTGACCTTACAATAAAGAAAAACTACTTTAAAGTACTGTACCGTATATCAGATACTTTTCATAGCTTTAAAAAGGTCAGGGATTTCACTGAAAAGTACAGCTGTTATTCTTGTAGTTGCGCTTGAAGAAGTGGAGGGGTGAGTGCTGTCCTTGGTGCTGAGCTGCGGCTTTGCATTCGAAGTCCAGGACCCAAAACACACGTAACGTTATTTACTTTTTGAATATACTTTGACAGCTTTTTATAGTTATGG